CCAGTTATATAGTTCTGTTTGATAAGTAATTGATTAGGTCAGACTATTTAAGCATTTAATCTGGCATGTACAGTGTGTGATGAAAGGAATCCAGCTGTGAATTTGAGTGTATTAAATAATCTTCAGGAAGTTTCACAAAGGACATTTGAATGCCTTGAAACTTGCAATAATGCATGTTTGTTCCAAACACATTTGCTTTGCCTAGGTTTTGCCCATCAGGTTGGAGAAACGGTAATCTTTTTGCATTCAGCAGCTGGGTTTTTGCAATATTCTTTTCCTTCTTCTAGGGGTTAATTAGCCTTCTTTCAAAACGTGGCCTATTTAGCTGTAGATTCGCATGATTCAGCCAGAGCTGGCTATACAAAGCAGAACCGTTAACAGGCGGGTGTGTCCAACTGCTTAATTAGCCAGAATAAAAAGGTCCTTTGTCAAACAAGCATCTGTTGCTCTTGACATACCTGACAGCCACATTAGGCAAGGATGACTAGACTGAAATCCTGCATGTCTCTCCTGCAAGAATATACAACTCATTTACATATAGGCTGCATCATGGACAAACTGCAGGAGTTTATTTAGCTTATCAAAATGGATTAATGTGACTGCATTTGTGGCTGATAAACAAATATCACTTGAAAGGAGGCTGTGAAGGAACTAAACTAACCAAATTACTCCCAAACATAAACAAAGCACCAGAAACCACTGCTAGATGAATGGGAACACCTCACATGTACACACAAACCTTTATACTGGATCTAAAACAAAACCTACAAATGAAGCATGCTAAGACAATGCCCTCATGTGATGATCCCTGCTTTGAAGAAATTTTGGAAAGCTACCAGAATACTCTAAATGTGTCAGTGGGTTTAAATGATCTCTTTAGGAAAATTTGGCAGGAAGGTTACACACCTCAACATGCTTTAACATTCAAATTCATCTGCTATTAATCAGGTCTTTGGAATTAATCAGTTAAAATGCCTCTGAAAAAAAATACTAGTTGGGTTTTATTATGGCTCTCAGTAGAGAGAGAATACTTGCTAATTTCAATGTCAGAGAGAGAAGAGATATCTCACTGTTGTTATTCGAAGTGTAGATCAAATAGGATAGATTGAGAATCCCAAAGATTTGCTGTTCAGGCCAACAATCTCTAGCTTTCCATTTGGAAGCCTTTCATCATGATTTTACAAAGTAATATACATAGTGGTAACATCATGGGCTTTAGAGTCAGGCAAACCTGGATTTGAATTTAGGCTCTTACTCTTACCATCTGTGTGGCTTTTAGCAAGTTATTTAATCCGTTTGTGCTTCAGTTTCCTCATTCGTTAAGTGGAAATAACAACCTTTCCATTATGGGTTTTTTTTTGAGGATTAAATGAAAAGATGTATTTCAAGCACTTAGCATATTGTGTGGCACCTGGAAAAGACTTGTTAAATGAGAGACCTAATTATGGTTATAACTTTTTTTTTGTTATGACTTTTTAGCCAGTCTCTGGCAGGCATGTGATTGAGATCCTCTCAAGGCCTGAAGCCTAGGCAAAGAGAGCCTTTTCTTCAAACCTGAGGAAGACAATGAAATCAGAGAAGAAGGAAGTTGTGTCTATTAAGGAAAGATGGAGACCAAACCGAGAGGCTACGTCCTTATCCCAATTGGCATGACCCTGTAATCCAGGGTCCAAGGAGATTGGATGATGAGCAGTAACTTGGAACTAAACAAGTTGTTCTGGGACAATTGTTGGTTGTTCTGGATTAGGCTTTCTGTGCTGGTTTTAATGTGGTATGTACGTAGAGCCAGAGGTTGGATGGAAAATTCTGTGACTCTCTAAGTTATATAAGCCATCATTTTCTGTCCATCTGCTTTTCCCCACTCTATTCTGTAAAGGTTGCTCCTATTAAATAGTTGGGATCTTTTTCCTCCTTTCTGCTTCTAAAAGTTCACCAGTTTGCTTTTCTTTACTCCCTTCACTTCTGTCTATTCAGTATCTCTGATGAAACTCAGGACTTCCGTCTGGTAGTTTAGTGCATGCGCTTTAGTCTTACGTCCAAACACTACTTTCCCACTTTCCTACTTCCCACAGTTTGACCTTGGTTAAGTGACTTAACATCTCTGGGCCTCAGTTGACTCAGTCTGTAAAATGAGGAAGATCTTAGTTCCGATCATCTAGTTACACATTTCTATTAGTAAAGTAGTCAAAGCTTAGGTATTTCTCTTATGCCTTAAATGCCTATAAAGGCCAAGCCAGTGAATATGTGTTACCATATAAATAATTTGCATATGAAACACATAATATGGGCTCACCTTTTCTAGATTTTCAGATTTTTCAAGAGAATCTGGAAATTTGGTTTTTAACACAAAATTTTCTGATTTTTAAAGGTTGACAATTAAGAATTTTAATTTGTAGTTACTCTGTGCCAAAGCCTATCGATGGAGTCTAATATGGTCCATAGGAAGCCAGTTTCCAAATCTATGCCTTTTATCTTTAGATAAGCCCTCGCAGGTGATTTATTGAGGAATTGCTTTAAAAGTACATTTAATTTTTTAGACATTCATTATGTATATTCTTATGTGTATTTGGTCTAAAACAGTGGGTGTCATATTATGGGTCATATACCAAAAAAGGTGTGTAGGCTGGTCTGCAGTACAGACCCCTGGACACACGAGAGAGCCTCGATAAAGTTCCCAGCCAACACTGGGATAAACAGGAGGGTGTTTTAGTTTGAGTGACTTAACAGTAAGAATCTCATCCACCCCTTGACTGAACAGCTTAAACAAGAACCCATAATTGGCAACTCTGTGTTCCTCATTTGTGTACTAAACTGACAAAGGCCTGTCTTGGAGCTGGGAAGAGAAGCTAAGAAAAACTCAGTGAAGATGATATCTAAAATCTGGTTTGGTCCTCATTCCCTGCAGAATAGCCCTCTGCTGTAGCACAAATGGCGTCAGTTGTCTATAAGTATAACATGTAATGAATTGAAGGACACTGGCATTTGCTTTCTTTTGGGGGAGGGTATTTTTTTCCCTCTACAATGGAATAAAGAAGAAGAGGCACAGATAGGGTTCCTACTGTGTGTATCCCCTCTCCCAATTTCAAGAACTGTTAGTCCTCCAGTAATCTTAATTAGGCAAGAATTTTATATAGTGAATACTGTCATTTTCAAACATTTTCAGGCATATCCGTGGTCTTAATACTAGTACAAAGGGCTGTGTGTGTGTGTGTGTGTGTGTGTGTGTGTGTGTCTCTTTGGAGATCAGTGCTACATTTTTTATTAATTAGCCACCATCTTGAGAGATTTCACATAAAAATCTTCTTTTGGAAAACTGGAAAAACTGGCCGCTACAGTTTAGCCTTCCCATAAATTAACAATTTCCTTGAGCTAAACATTAGTTGGCCTAAATAAATGGGGTGGTAGCCACAGTGTCCATCACTTTCCTTGTTTTTTAAGCCCCTAGCTACCTTCACTCTTTGTGCCTGAGGTTCCTCATCTGTAAATGTAGATTATATTCATACAAACCACATTGGGTTGTTACATGGAGTGATTTATTTATGAATTAACACGTAAAGCATTTAGAAGAGGACATAGCATGTGTTAAATACTCTATCGATGTTAGCTTTACTGCTGTATATTTTGTATGCTCTAAGTTTTATTGTGCTGCTTTAGGGGTTTGACTAACAAAGGAATAAGAATAGTCAATCACGTAAAGTGATACCAATGTCAAGCTGTAGAAAGTAAAGAAAGCATATATTCAAAGTGAAAAGGCCTAGTCCTTTCTCTAGTCCTGTCACCTTGAGTGAGTCTCTTAACCTCTCTGGGCTTTACTTTTCTCATTTATGAAATAAGTGTAGATTAGATATCTTCAGAGGTCTGTTTCTAAAATTGAATGAGATGATAGAAAAGGTTTGGGGAAGAAATTGGAAGAGGTCATGCTGTGACAAAAGATGTTGAGAGGGGTTAATTTTCTGCTTGAAAGACCTGAATACTCTTTCAGAATTTTCTTAGGGAAAATTAATGTTCACCATACTGTTCACAGATTTAAACCATGAAACAGTATTTTTCTTAGGCTACCAATTAAATATTGTTTTTCCCCCCAGGATCCCTGCTCAGTAGCAAAGAAATTAACATTTATTATATTGACTGCGTAAGTAACAAAAGGGAATATCAAGGTCTAAGAAACCATACTTGTTAGAGTGCACACTGTAAAATTTAATCCTGTGTTAGTAGGACAGGTACATGAGAACTGAAAAATGTACCATGTTGAACTGTGAATGAGAGGAGGTAAAATTTCATGTCTTTGTTTACAAATCTCACTTATACAATAGTGATCCTTCTTACCTTTCAAAATATTAAACATTATTGCTGTTTGGCTGTCTTTGTGTAGAGTATCATTAAACTTTAATTTTGGTACCATATCATCTCACAGCCAAGAAAATTAGTGAGCTTGATCCTTTGGCTAAATTTAGGGTATATCAGTTGGTTTTTGGATATACATTAATTTAAAAAAATCAGTGAATAGTAAGTTTGAAAGTTGGAAAGGACCTTAGAAACAATTTATTCTAAATTGTACACCTCCAGTGATGTCCTGTAGTTTATAAAAGTGTCTAGAAAGTACAGTTCATGACGTATTTGCATCCAGTTAGGATTTGTGTTCTGAGAATTGTGTCTTGACATAATTTATAATATGACTAGTTTATATTGTGCTTGAAACAATTTATAACAGATGAGGCCTAAGGAAGGTAGATTTCAATGAAGTTCAACCTTTATAGCCTCAAAATAAGAGGTACTAATGGAGATTTTTAAAATGTAGATTAGTAATTTTCTATATTTATTTTAAAAGTGGACAACATGACTCTAAACATGCGTGGAATATCATGAGTATGTTGGCTGGAGTAAGAGGTATTCTGGGAGTGGAAAGTTCGTCTCAGTATAGGATATTAAGAACAAATGTAATGCAGCTAGTCATATAAGAAGAGCATTTTAAACTTTCTTTCTATTTTAATAAATTTCAGAGACCATCATGCAGACATCAGAGACCGGGTCGGACACAGGTTCGACAGTGACTTTACAGACATCTGTGGCTAGTCAAGCAGCAGTGCCTACACAGGTGGTACAGCAAGTACCAGTACAACAACAGGTAAGGAGCTGCTGTTCCCAGAGAAGATGCTGTGCCTTTCCTTGTGCTGCCTCTCCAACGTAGCTGTGTCTAAAAAATGATTCGGATAATACTTTCTGGCACAATGGATGCCCAAATAGGCCTCGTTCGATTCTTAGATTAAGTCAGCAAATGTTTCTTGAGCATTTCCTGGATGTGCCACGTTCTTTCTGTGCTAGGCTGTAGGGATAAAAAGATAAATACTCCAACTATAAGCCTTATTCCAGAAGAGCCTCTTAAGTCCTAAAGAAAGCATTTGTTTGGCCACCCTAACTGGCTTTTCTTCTCCTCTTCTCCCCTCCTTGTTCTTTACCACATCTTCCTATTTCTTTCGTATTGAAATGTCGGCAATCATATTTTTATATAATTGGCTCACAGTAGTACTTAATAAAGGAGAGGATGTGTGTACCTTACAGGCAGGGATTTTGCCTTTGTGACATTTTGGAAAGTGCTTGGGCGTTATGGCGACTGATAAATAGTGTTTAATGAAAATTAAATTATCTTAAAGGTCTGAAAATCTGACTCATCCCATTTAAAAAATTGAGAATGAATTCATCATGACATGTTTACTACAGGGCTTATTCATACTTGGGACACTTAGCTTGTTTTGGAAAGATACTGACAAAACAGTGCAATTTTGTGCCAGTTAATAGTCCTCCTTTGGATTGTGAACACATTGGCCTGTCATTTCTTCTAAGGAGTGGTGAGAAAGTACGCGAGAATGACCATGTCATAAAGCATTATCTCGAGACTTGAGATTTACCTGTAATTTCTCAGTATCAGAGAAAATGTTGCTTTTACAGTTTAGCAAATGTCGCTTTTACAATTATAAATAAGTCATTAGGGAGAGGGAATAACTTTTCCTAAATCATAGACAGAGGGACTCAAGGTTATATTCTTAGGACATAGAAGTGGGATGGGCAGGGAGAGTGCTAGAATCATGGAGAAGGGTCTTTGACTCTCAGGGTAAATAAAGACATCTGAAATAATTATTTATTTTATAATTAAATCTTAGCATACTCTTCTTTCTGTTCTCTACAACACACTGGTATTACTGATCACCAATTTCATCACCAATTTCAAGACTGAACATTATTCAGAAAATGGTAGTTCATGGCATATCATCCAGAGAGCAAGTAGAGAACTACTGGGACAGTGTTATATATAATTTTAAAAAGATAACTCAACAATCGAACAATATTAAGCACATATTGAACAGTTACGCTCACTCTGGTTTGGTTTTTATCTCATTTGTGGAAGAAGAAAGGCCTCGAGAGTGGCTGTCTCTAACAGTAGTGCAGTGGAGATCCTGTTCCTGTCTCCAGAAAGTGCCCCCTTGAGACCTTAAAATGTCTGTGTTAAGTGTATCTGGTCCTCTCTCATGGACTCTGTGTCTTTTCTTACTCCCTCCTTCCTTTCCTTTCCCTTTCTTCCTTTTTGCCTTCCTTCCTTCTTTTCTTTTTAAAAACCATTTTCTTTTTATTGAATTTATGTGTCATTAGATGTCTACTACAGGTCTTATATAGTGTATATAGTAGTGTAAAGAGTCAAATAGTTCAGCAAGTTTGTTATTTAAAAAAAAAAAATGCAGTTCTCATCCTCTCTGTACTCCTCCTCAGAGGCAACTAATTTTGCCTCTGTTTACCTATTATTTTGATATTTACCTCTGTGTCTTCACAAACGGTGTTTATTTTCTTTTTTTAAAAAAATTTTATTGGAGTATAGTTGATTTACAATGTTGTGTTAGTTTCAGGTGTACAGCACAGTGAATCAGTTATGCATATATACACTCTTTTTTTTTTTAGATTCTTTTCCCATATAGGCCATTACAGAGTATTGAGTAGAGTTCCCTGTGCTATACAGCAGGTTCTTATTAGTCATATATTTTATATATAGTAGTATTTTCTTGATTTTTTTAGTTTTAGGCATTTTCTTACCACACTCCTCTTTCTAGCTCTTAATATGTGCATGCATGTGCATGCACACACGCACACACACACACTTTTTCCATGCCATATGCTTCTGATATACTAGGTTGAACTATATGCATTTTTTTCCCTTTGCCATCATTCTGGGATTTCCCTCTTCTCTCTTATGTTGGCTTTCCTGTTTCTCGGATCAGTGTCTTAAACTCTTTCTTGATTTGCTCAAGCACAGCTTGCAGTAACTTCCTAAGAATTGGTAGATTTTGAACTCTTGTGTGTCTGAGAGGGAATTTATTCTACTGCCTTCACAGTTGTTTGGTAGTTGGATGGGTTGGATCTCATTTTCTTCAGAATTTTGAAGGAATTGCTCCATTGTTTTCCAGTTTGCAGAATTGCTATGGAAAAGTCGAACACTGTTCTGATTTCTGATCCTTTGTATGTGATCTATGTGATTATTTTTTCCTCTCATGTTCTAAATCCCAGTTTCTTGAAATTTCATGTTCATCAAGGAAGGCCAGTCACCTCATTGCACAGAGTTGGTAGGGGAGATCTGATTGCTTCTTAAAAAGAATCACTTTTTATATTAAATATATATAAAACCAAAAAAACTAAGTTCCTATTAGAAGTGGAAAATCAAGTATCACCAGCCATAGACAGAAAATTACACATACACATACACACACTGTGTTCATGTCCTTATAAAAAATAATCTCATGTACACACGTAACACACTTTGGAAAACTTTGTGGTATACCACATGGTTTGTTTCCCAACAGGCATATTTTTCAGTCCCGCAAGTTAGCTCTTTCCTCTAGGACGTTCAAGGCAGTCGACGACTTGGTCCTCTTTAACCAAGCAAAGAAGTTGAGAACTTTCATTTTCTTTTTGTCAACTAAGTGTTCTATTTCACAGAGTGGATTAGTGTGATATATGCCTGGAAATGCCTGTCATGTTGTCCTTCCAGGCTTATCTTATTTGGAAGGATTTTTTCTCTTCTGCCATTTTCTTCCTTCCTAGCTTCTTTCCTCCATTCCTCCCTTCCTTCCTCCCCTCTCCTTTCCTCTCCTCTAGAACGGTGACATATTTGAAGATTTCTAACAGTGTCCCTGTGGATATAGATTGTCTATAACTGATAAGATAGGTGCTATAGTAACTTCTTATTGCTCTAACATACCTATAATCTTTATATTGTTAATATGCTGATGTCATCTTGAGTTTTCAAACTTCGGTAGGTTGCCTTTAAAATCTTGCAGCTCTTGTCACTGACACATGATAAGATACTGAAATCATGGCATTGACATCAAAGATAGTTACTTCTATTGATTCAACTTTTCATTGTGTCCTTGCTTTGACCATTTTGATGTAAAAAGAAAGCCTATAGGGCTTCCCTGGTGGTGCAGTGGTTGAGAGTCCGCCTGCTGATGCAGGAGACATGGGTTCGTGCCCCGGTCTGGGAAGATCCCACATGCCGCGGAGCGGCTAGGCCCGCGAGACATGGCCGCTGAGCCTGCGCGTTCGGAGCCTGTGCTCCGCAATGGGAGAGGCCACGACAGTGAGAGGCCCGCGTACCGCATAAAAACAAACAAACAAACAAGCCTATAGCTAAATTTTTAAATTTTGAGATATATAATATTGTATGTATTGGCATGTTGAGAAACCAGAAAATTTTAAGACTGTAATATATATTTTTATTTCTTCAAAGCCCTAAGGGTTCTGATTTCCCTATTTCACTATGTAGTAAGTACCAAAAAAATGTTGTTTCTAAAATTATTTCTGTGGTTTTTCATTTATTCTGTATGATCTCAAGAATCAATTTGTCACCTTTCCTTGAACAATCTGATTCAAGAATGGAGAATTCTGAGCAAAGATTGCAAGATCTTATTATATAATTCTTTATCAAATTTCCTGTCTTTTGCAATTTTTCATTATTTCACAAAACACCATAGAGTCTCAGCTTACAAATACAGACATAGTTGCCCAATTCAGTGAAATCTATAAAAATATTCAGGTTCAGTATCTTGATTAGAAACTAAAAAATTAATATTATTTATTCTTATCATATTTGTAAAAAGACCTGATGGGTCTCTATCGAATATGACTAGAACTGTGCTGTTCTCCCTTCCCCTCCCGCTTCCTTGAGTGATTTGTTAGAGTTTCTTGTAGATAATTCTTCAAGTTGGTCATTTTATGCCTAAATCTGAGAGGTCTTCTAACCCTGCTTGCCTAGAACTGAATTAAAAACCCAGGATAGGGGAAAAGGAAAATGTATTCCTACTATTCCATTCTCCTCCATAGCCAGCTAGTTTAGATTCTTTTCAAGGTAGAACCTAGTCAAAAGTCAGAACTTTTATTCCTGTTTTAATCTTGGGATCCAGGTATTTCACAAATGCTGCTGACATCGAGGATAATTCCTAAATCATCCTAAATCTTGAATCAGGGCTCCAAGAATATTTTCTCCCATTCAAGCTTCCCAAGTTTTAACTGGTCTCCCAACTATATTTCTTCCTGTCTCTACTGTCTCTGTCTTCCCTTTTCCTTAGAAAGGGACATACATCTTTTCTCTCACAGTGGGCAAGTGTGTTGTCTCTGTATTGCTCCTTCTAAATGTAACATCCCAGGTACAACTGAGCCCTGGGGTTGAGGGGCTTCTATTTGAGTTCAAAGACATACTTTTTTTTTTATTTTCAAAAATGCTGTCAACTTTGTTCAAATTCTTTTTTTTATCAAAGAATGTGGGTCTTGACCTTTTTCTGCCCAGGGACTGTTTGTTTCTTGTGGGTCTTTGGTATGTAACTGTGACACTGAAACTTCTTTTTATGTGATAAAAGTTCATTTCAAGATTATATTCAGATAAGGATATATATATTCTTACAAATACATATTTTTAAAAATACGTGTAGAAATAAATCACCTATTTAGGCACTGACTCTTTGTTCATAATTTGAGTTATCAAAATGAATGTAATAGCTATGTGGCTATATTGTTTCTTTTTGGTTAGTATCAATATATCACATATTTAGCATTTCTACATAAATTATGGTATATCCTGGAGAGTAA